GACTCGATAATCCACGCGACCGTCCGCTACTGGGTTCATCAAACGAGAGTGTCCTAGGAGAATGTAACAACTCTTCCCCATGGTGGATGCTGCTCAGTCCAGGAGAGAAGCTACTATCAATAGTTGATGTTGACGAACCCAGCCTTTGTTGGCGCGTAGGAGGAGGCTCACTGCCTGGTTGGCTGTCGGAGCCGCTGACCGTTCCACTGGTCGTACCACTTGCTCCGGCCGAACCACCGCTGGTACTACTACCACGCATACTATCAGAGTCTAACTTCAGACGTTTGGAGACATCCTTTTCTTTTCAATTTATTAGCACAATATTCCCAAACGATACCATTGGGTGTATTATGTATTAATATTACCTTGTAATTGGCTGGCCTGTCTTTTACGGAATTCATGCAAGTAGTCGTAGTACTTTCTATACTCTGCTGTTTTTTTATACTCTGCTAGCTCACGGTTGTATCTCTCCTTGGCCTCATGTGCCTGTCTTTCAAACGGTTCTTTTTCGTCGCGGTTCAGATTTTGCCAATTCTCACCGACTAATTTAGCGATCTCCGTGAAGGTCAAGTTTTGGCCCTTCAGATCTTCTCGCATTTCTGTAGTTTGTCAGCAGATGGTTCTAATGGCGGGCACCAATAAAATTAAAACCTCTGCGCAACGACAGGACCGCCACCATTCAGAAGGTGAAAAGGTGAACTTACTATTCGAAAATAATACATACGCCGATGGGGGGCGCTCCGGTGCATTTTCATCTGGCTATTACGATGTTAGACCCGCGTCATATATCAATAAGGGGCGGAAATATTGCAGTTGCCCAACCGCAAAAACAAAACATCGGATGATAAAGAAGGACTACGAACCTTCGGATGTCGTCTGTACTTGCGCTTCGCGACGGTCGCCCCGTCTGGTTTGTCGGACTTGACAGATTCCGTCCGGCTCGATTCGACTCTGGCATCCTCGATACTAGTGCATGTAGGCGATACTAAGGATGTTTCTGGTGCAACACCACGATAATTCGCTATACGACGCTGGAGTTTCTTCAGAACGGTCAGTACATCGTGTCTGGCAGATATTTATCTAAGTAGGCGCCTTACTCTTCGATGGCCGAGCTTAACGCCAAGTGCGTCTCTGAATGTAACTATCGTCAGCGATTAACCGAAACAAGTCAGAGCACGAGACTTACAGGTCGGACTCGGTGATATCGAGAATAGTATCCCAAGAATCGAAGCCTTGATCGATGAAGGCATCGAGATACTGAGTAATACCTAGCTCGCCGAAAATCACTTCGAGGGAATTCATATAGTTAATTTTGGCCGCGTCTCTGCGGATCAATCGTTTAAAGCTTCAATTCAACATCGGGCTTCCCGATTACCCGGTGCGTGACGATTACGACGGTGCAACTCGCAGGACCTATTATAGTTTCGTCGAGTAGACTCCGGAAGGATTCGGCGTTTGTTTCTTTTTGGCTAACGGTTGGAAGTATTTGAAGACGACTCAACCTCTTCCACAACACCTCAATATTTCACAAAGTGAGTTGCACTTTCTCACCGAGATAACTGGTCTAATAACCACCCTGCTAGGACAGTATCGAGATTGCTTATTCTTCCAGGGGTAGGCCGGAATAAGCAAGCAGCAAAGCAGTTCAAGGCTATCGAAGCTACGTAAGGATGGGGACGCGTCGTGGGTTCGATGCGAAAGTCCAGGTGTGTGGGGCGTAGGGTTCTAGAATTACAGGAGTGTGAAATGCCGATATACCTAGTTAATGAGAAGCTCTGCTAAGAGGGAGATAGGGCATGCGTGTTGAGAGCGAGAGAGTGTGAGACAAGAGGATATGGATACGGGCTAGAATGCACATGTGCTGTGTATTGGTGCGGATAGCGGGTAGCGGTTTGCGAATAATCGGGTTATGCTGTTTATGCTGTGTGGCATTAAAGGATCGATGATCGAATTTGTCTGTTTGCCCCGTAATGGTCAATGGCAATGTTTAAGGGAAATGTGGAAGATTAGCATTCTGGATCCCGGGCTGTTGTGGTGATATACGATCCCTCTGCATTTTCCAGATCTCGATGAGTAGCGCAATCGACGGGAATCGATGGGAATCGAACAACTTTGACGTGTGACAGCAAAAGGGAGAGTCAGAAAATAAACGGCTGCGGCAAAGACCCAAAAAGAACCCAAGGACCCAGAAAAGCTAGTGCATTCGCTGAAGGGGAAAAATAGAAACTCACCTACAGGCCTACAGGACTAGCTTCCCATCCGTCTTCTTTTCTGATGGCCAGCGGGCTGGCGGGAGAGTCCTGGAAACATGCAAGCTTCGAAAAATGGCCTGATGGGACAATAATAAGTCGACCGGCCGACACACACACACGGGTACCTGGCTATGTATGTATCTATCGAGGTATGAAGTCACGCTTTACAGCCCCCCGGGCCTGGGCGAGAATGTTAGACTGTACAGGCTCGTTCAGGAACGTGACTATTTCCTAGAAGATCACAACCTGTCTTGTCCTAAAGCCCCATAAATGAAATGCAATGTTTAGAATCGAGCTCATGCAGCCTAGTCAGGGCTAACAGGGCTTTAACAGGGTTAAAAGCTTAGTAGCTCGGTGGGTGCGTTTGCCAACTCAAAAAGGGATACCCGTCTCTTCGGGAGTCGCCAACTTTTTCGAGCTTCTCGAAAAAGAGCGTTGTGTGCGAAAAAATAAAAAAGGGAAAAAACCCCAGAGACGAAGCCCGGTGGCCTTACAACCCCCCCATAAGCCCGTAGATGGTCATGGGGAATGGAGCAACGAATGTCACGACAAGAGAACCGAGGGAATAAAAGACGACAGGTTACAAAGCTAAGAGAAGATCGAGATCGCTGGCCAGAACTTCGGACGAATCAGTGGGTTGCTTCACCTCGTGTCTCCCTGCTGGGATGTTCTGGATGCGTGTGTCTGTTCCCGAGTCGCCGCCATCCTCCCCTCGCGACGTATCTTTTGACGTCGTGTCGATGTAGCGCCATGAGAGCCGCTTGATCTCTCCTTTGACGAGTCACAGTCTGATGTCTGTCTGCTCATATATCTTGTCATATCCTACCATTAAGGAAGGCGCCAAAGTTCCCAAACGGGACTGGCCTCTGTTACAATCATCCAACGGTTCGGTGGTGACGAAGCTGACGAAGCAGCGAAGACACTGTTGTCAGGTACTCTCATCTAGATTTGAACCGAAGTAGGTATCGGGGTGTCGGACCACTAGCCAATGTTGAGAGAGAAACGGGAGCCAAGAGGGCTGCCGACAGTCTACCAATGAGATGAGAGCAGCTGGGAAAAGCGCAGGGTGCCGCAATCGATTTTTCAGCCCGGGATCGAAAGTCTTGGCACCTCTTAAGCTAACGAACCCCAGACTCCTAGAACTCCATCAGTCGTTGTGTATTTTTTTTGTTTTTTTTATAAATTCATTTTCCTATTACATACTGCAATCAACCACTTCCAATGCTATGTATCGGCGATTGCATTGCGCCCCTCTCGCACCCCACTGGAGGAGTAGAATACATACGTAGGAAAAATGTCATTCCCGGTATTGTGGTATTTAAAGCGACGATCAAATGGCAAGGTATATTAAAAGCCGTAAGGTAACATCGGCTGCCAAAGGGCCAGGTTCGAGATTCGATTCCAAGCATAAATAACTTAACATCCTGACATCAAGGGAGATGATCCGTGATAAGATATAATGGCGGCCGTCATTGTGGGACAAGATCGAGATTGGGAGGCTTCCACAATCAAGACAGTCAGTACCTTGCCTATTGTTTCTGTTTTATGGTGGTTTCGGTGGTTTGTGATGGGTTGGCGAACAATGCGAGTTGCATAAAGTTGTAGGAAATCCCTCCACCAATAGACTTGCGACTATCGATCGATCCTATTATGGTACCTAGTATTGTACCTAAAGCAAATATGGGGAATCACCTGATTCGTAATACTATTTGGTTTTATGCAATAATATTAGTGTATTGGTACTTTGTACAATACAGTTCAAGGGTATATAATACTAGCTACAGTAACTACGATACTAGTCTTCTCTTTTGCCGCATAATGCCGTGGGCAAGCAAGTGCGTGGGGCCTAACGTATTTGCGTACTCGCGTACTCGGCAGTGTCACCATTTTCCATATTTTCCCATCGAAGTGGATGGAATTCTTTTAACTTTTGTAACTTCTTCATCCCGATTCCCAGATGATTGACGTACCTCAAGCTCGAATCTTCCGACCGGCCATCTGCATTCAAAGGACCCAACAGACCTAACGGCAGCTAAAACATCAATCAAAAATAGTAGTACAGTTACGGTATGTACATAAACACGTGGGCCTGCAAGGGCTAGCTACGTGGACATGAGACCCTCGTTTCTCTGGCATCTTAATCCCTGAAGACGTTTTTTTTTTTTGTGTCTTCTTTTGCTGCGTACAAAATGCAAACCAAGGGATCCTCAGGGCCAGAAGGGCCCTGTATGCTATAACGTTAAGCAATAAGTTTAGAATGCCGAGATCCAGAGATCTAGACCACGGGAACCCGAAAGACAATATTGACAATCTTGACAATATTCGTCCTGACATCGGGGCTATTTTCCAGCTGGAGAGAAGATCTGCATTTAAGGCCAACGTTTGACTGTCGATCTTTTGAAATCAGGAAATAAGACCATGTTTGCATATTCATTGTACCCGAAGTCGCATGCATCTTCTTTTCATATGTATTCTACCTACGTATACTAGTAGGTGTACATTCAGACATTCAAGCATCATCAGAAACCCTGAATTGTTCTCACGTGGGGAGGCTGACAGTTCGTCCACCTATCAAGAAACCATTCGGATCGATCCGTCGTCTTATCCAATCTTCATTCAACATTTACTCAACATCTCCACCTCTTCTGTCACCTTTCACCTTATTCAGCGTGTTTACTATCCCGAACCAGATAATTCTCAGGTGGCAAACCGAAAAAGCTTTCAACCGTTTTCCTCTAAGAGTAGCCAATCAGTTGTTCTTTCTCCAAGATCCACCTTTGAATCTTGGAACCGGGGATCATATCCGATCTTCACCATTTTAGCAGTACCTATTCTATCACTTTACGAGATAAAGTTGGTAGATTAGCTTCATTATGTCCAAATCACCATCGAATAGCAAGGATACCTCCACATCAAAGACCCAGGAGTCTAACGAAGCTTCGGCAAATGCGTCCGCCTCGGCTGCTTCGACGCAAGCTGAGATGGTTAAGGTAAGTTGGCGGCAGGCATCAAAAACATCGCTAAGCACTAGGCAATTCCTGATCTAACAAAATGTTGTTGGATTTAGGCATTCCAGGACCTCGCAAGGTACGTAACGCTTATTATCACAGCCTTACTGGCAATTCAAAACGGTTTCTCGGGGAGATCAACGGTCGATCTCATCCAAGTCAACTACCTAAGTCATGTGTTCCCGAACTTGAGGTTCGGAAGAATAGCTACATGGAAATGCCCAAATTCGCCTCGGATGTCCCATCATTTGCCATGCCAATCACTTCTAGACCCCCGGTTTGCCCATCTTTTTGTCATGCCAAATTCCCTTCGTGCATACGCGTTGGTATGATACGCACGACTATTCCCCATCGCGCGGCCCCCCTTGTCTTCCTCCCCCGATGTTCTAGATCCCCCCCCAGTCGCTACAACGAATCTAAACCAGAGCCACTCGCACGCTTTACACACCCGAAATCCCACCCGTGTGTAATCCTTACACAGGAAACCAAATTTATTCATGATTGCCCTGCTCCGTCTGGTGTCCATCGACACCGCTTTCACCGTGGAAGTCCCCGGTTGATCGAATAAGTGGCTAGCCGCCTTGCTCAAACCTCTTCTTGCTCGTATCTAGGCGCGGTTAGCTTAGCAACTGGCTCCACGTCGGATACCTAGCAAAGCTGCTTAGGTTGCCGGCCCTTTCTCGTCACAACACCAATGCCGATCTATCCCAAAAGTCGCACAGGCTCTTCAAGTTTCTGCGTGGCATGTCCTTGTCCATAGCGTGTCAACATCTGATGACTGGCCCTTGCAAGACTCTGGCTTGCTAAACGGGACGACCTATCTCAAAAACAACCCCGTCGAAATACTAGACTACTTTCAGCTATACATTAATATCATGTCGAGAGTTCACACACCACTTCTCAGTTTCTCTATTGAGGACGCCGTAGAGCACCGCAGTGCTAACGTATGCTCAAACAGGGGCGAACAACAAGCAGCAGCTCTAGAAGCGAGTTTGGCAAGTTTAGAGAGCAAGCTTGATGCCTTGTTAGCATCCTTTGAAGGTGATCCTGCCTCGTTCGATGCAAATCAGATGAAAGGGGACTCTAAAGAGCAGGGGCCAAATGCAGAAAAATAATATGCTGCTTTCCTCCTCCTCTACATATCGAGCCACGTTGTGTTAATCTAGCGGGGGCTTCCGCTGTGGCACAGGTATCTATTGGGTATGACGGTTGAAGGAACACATACCGAAAGGCTATCTTCAGTCACTCGATCGCCTAAATTTGCCATCGTCCCCATACGTACATACACCTACATCTATATGTACAACCCCCGCATGCAGTTCCAAATAGATTATTCCAGGAGATCAGGGGAAGCTCTCTTGGAAGCTTTCCCCGCAGAGGCGCTGGTGGTACAGATCCAGACCAACCTGGTGGATACGTACATACATGCATAGCATAGAATTACATAGATTCAGAGCATCTATTGCATTAGTGGAAGCATCTAGGTTATTAATCCTACTATGACAAACACGATGTCATCATTTGAAAGGCGGAATACTGTGGGCCGCGAGATTAGTCTAACAGGAACCGTAGTCAAACTTGTACTTCACTTCGTGGATTAAATTAAACGATTTTTGAGCCTCGAGATACCAAGTGACGTAGATTATCCCCTTGACTGGCATTCAACTACACCTCCGCTATTTCAGTATCAGTACATAAGACTTGATGTCGTTCATTAAAATAATAGGAAAAGGTCCGACAATTAGTACAACTCGTAAATATCATTGATCGATTTAGCCATTTTCTCTTTCCTGGCCAATCTTTATGTATCAATACTGAACATAATGGAGGTGAGGTTGAATGCCAATCAAGGGGATAAGCAAACGCTGTCTCGCCACATACCTACATAAGAGTGATGCCGTTCAGGGGTGCTTCGACCAGGCCTCTTCTACGTACCTATCACCATTTAACGATCCATCTGCACACGCGGGTCGCGTCTAAATCGCAAACTATCGACCACCCAGCCGATGTGAGCCTCGATCGACAGGTCCAAGCCCACATCGAAGTATCGTAGACAGGTGATGCTTTTTTTTTTCGGCTGACCGAGACGGCGTTGGGCTGATTTTTCTATGATTGGCAAAGAACCCACACCTAGGACCTGTGCCCGGGATCAAAGAGAGAAAAAAAAAAAATCCACGGAGGTGGTCCCACAATCACACGACTTAGCCTAGCCATATCGTTGTAAATATGCACCAGAATCAAATAGGAGTCAACCAACACAGCCTTCTCCACGGCTCTCTACTCGGCTACGATAGGAAATTTGCTACCTACCTCCTCCGACGAGCCCGGCTGTTTTCTTCTGGCTCGTTTATTCTAGACGCGTCCGTAGGAAGCGTTGCCCTGGACAGAAGGAGTCATGTCTGCCCACTTGACCCGCCTGGGGACATACGACTCAGACCCGTGATGGCCTACATATGTATAGATCCCGGTGCCGGTTATTGACGTCACGGGGAGAGACAACGAGTACTACGTCACGAAGCACTACCACAATTGGTCGGCTTGGCTCCAAAAGACCTATAAGGCGTTTTAAAACCATGCTCGGAGGCCGCTCCGTGATGCTCAGATCGAGATACAGATAGTAGTAGCAATATTGGTTCGGCTTGTTGTTGGAGACTCGGAGACCACGGCCTAAGGGGAAGAAATTAGTCCCGTAAAGCGGGAGCTATTCGGCTTAAAAAAGAATAATTTGAGGAGGAAATAGCGTATTTCTGATCGGAGGGTTGGGTTCGTACGTTGCGGACTACTACTAACTTAACACAGGGCCTAAGCAATTTTGAAGACTAAAGAATAACTTTATAAGAAAGTTGTTTTGTAAGGCACGCTATATAAAGGAACAATTATTACATAGTTGGAACGGCTGTTAAAAAGTACACAAAAAAAGGGGGAATGAAACGCCGTAGGGAGGACCAAGGAGGAGCCGGGAGATGAGTGCATTCCGAAGCCTCAAAACTACGACCTCGGTATACATAGTCCAAGCACTATTAAGGCGGCAAGGCTATATCTATCTACACGAAGGGCAAAGAATAAAACGCCTCAACTTACAAATACAACCCTATCATGATACCAATTTACGTACGGAATAGTTGCCCCTTTGATAAAATCGTTGACGCCGCCACCACAGCCGTCACCACCACCACAAGTAGGTAAGCTAAAATAGTTTCTCCAAGGAAAATAACGCCCTCATATTCGTAAATCCAAGCTAGGTATATGGTATCACAGAATAATCAAGCTATTGTACAATAAAGAACTGACAGGAACCCCCTGGACTGAAAAAAAAAAAGGGGGGGGGGGGGGGGGCCCGAGAGCCATGACACCGCAACCCTAGTAATCGTCTGCACGTAAGACGCCTCGAGACATACTATGTAATCTCCCAAGCCACGATTATAATAACCTGGAATAGATTGTTAATACATAGTCATCATTCCTTTAGCTTTAGGTACACATGCATAACAGTTAGGCTCCTCTTTTCTACTCATTCATTATACCTTATCTTTATATATAACCGTACATTCAAATTTCGAGAAGAGATACATATCAAGCTTTGCAGCACGATTGGAGTAGTCAACTACGAAGTACCTTTCCTATAAATATCGGTTGTTGGGGGGGTTATAATCGACGAGTCCATCCACGTACGGAAGATAAATACGATGAATATATTTCTTATTCAGCAGCGAGTATCCGAAGTACCTAGGTGAATAGCCATGTACAATACCATAAGTTCGTGTAGCGAGTATATATACTGACAACATAATTGCTACGAAAATCTAACCTAGATTCAACGTAGGTAACTATAATGATTTATGAGTGATTATACACGTCCACGTTAACGAGAGAAATGCTAGGCAAAATCACTGTCGTTTCACATCACTGTACACGTATTTGGAAGACATGAAGAATCCTGGCTCGTCATTTCTTATCCATTAACGGATGAGCCATTCCATTTGCGGACCAAGAGGCTAATCCTCCCTCTTTTCGACACGGACAAGCAATCAACGAACATAGGAAGCGCCAACTGAATTCCATGATACAGGGGACCCGACACTATTTACTTCCGAATATGATATAAGCCATCTGCCAACACTTCGACAATAGGATTTTAGCATGCCGCTACTTGTCCCACAAGCTTTATATTCCCCAACGAGGCGAAACCCTCTCTTCGGCAGTCCAACATAGCCAAACGACTATATCAAGGACCTTCCCATGACTAATATATTCGCAAACCACGCATGATCGATGTTCAAACATGAAGCCAAAATAACGCCCAATGAAACACCGACAATTGCAATAGTTCCTCCCCAAAAGCGGCACATCATATTCACCCCCCCGTGCGTCGTTATAAAAAAAAAAGCATAGACCCGAGAACGGACAACAACAGCAGCCTGGTTTTACACCACTCGTAATCAAGCTTGTGGTAACGAGAGTACAAGAAATTTAGGTGGTGATGCCTGGAACTGATGGCATTCTCATAGGTCATGGGTATCGTGAGAATGATCAAGATTAATTCTTGATTGAAACACGGACTCCGGATATATGAATGAGCACCACTCGGAGCGAGTGGTGTTCTTCACGCCTGACCGGCATTGGAAACTGATCAGCTACTATGAGCTCTAATTAGAAGCTGAACGGGACCACCGCATGTTAGTCAGTTTGAACGCAAGGTTCAGAGAGGGTTGAACGTGCCCTATGCAGCGGATCGTCTTGATTCGCCGAAACGAGAGATGGGCTCTCCATGGTTCCCATCATCGGCTCGTTCGATGTTATTGAACGGCCCTCGAGACCGGGCCTCATGTGTGCTGAGCCATTTGGTTTGCCGCCGTTCTTTTGTTCAGCTTGACGTGCCAATTCCCGCTCCCGGTTCTTTTCGAGAAGAGCACCGCCAAGCGTTGCACACTTTAGAATGGTCTGTATCAAGTGGTTTTGCTGTAGAGGTTTGGATAAGTATTCATCCATCTGGGCCTGTATACACCTCTCTCGATCACCCATCATAGCGTGTGCCGTTAATGCGATAATCGGTGTTCGGTGAGAGCCAAGGCTGCGCTCATACTCGCGGATCTTATTAGTAGCTTCGAAGCCTCCCTACATATAGTTAGCAATTTGTAATTGGTCCCGGAGCGCTGCGGCGGGTGTCAAACCATTATTGGCATCTGTACATCCATTAGGATGACATCGAATTTCTTCTTCTTTACTGCCTCTACGGCTTCTAGGCCGTTTCCAACCACGGTAACGGCGTGGTGATATTTCTCGAGGATCTTTACAGCCAGTCGCTGGTTAACTCTGTTGTCCTCAGCAAGTAGGATTTCGAAAGATTTCGTGTTGTCAGCTAGGGATGGTGTAGCACGGTTCTCCAAAGCAGGAACCATTCCATTCCCTAGGTCGATTGGTTTACAAGGAGTGGTCATGTAAGATGTGATGCCTAGATCTAAGCATGATTTTAGGTTGACGTGAACGACTGGTGCCAAAAGGACAATCGGGAGGTATTTGAAGTCTTCAACAGCCCTTAGCTTACGGGCGGTGTCGATAGACTCAACAATAATCACGTCGTATGGCGGATCGTCCGATCCAGGCACGTGAGGATTCCCTTCCGTGTTTACGACGACCGGTACAAGGCCAAGCCTCTGTAGCATATTGACGATTTCTCTCCCATATTGGGTGCGTCCCTTGTCGATAAATAGTACTTGATGTCCCTTGTAAGGTTTGAGTTGTTTCTCAATAGACGCAACCTCGCCGTCTGCCAACTTGACCACGCAGGTGAAGTAAAACGAGCTGCCTTTCCCGAATTCACTCTTGACCCAGACGTCACCACCCATCAGATTAACCAATCTCTTCGAGATTGATAGACCCAAGCCGGTACCGCCAAACTTGCGAGTCATGGATCCGTCCGCCTGCTGGAAAGTATCGAAAATCAAGTCGAGCTTATCAGGCGGGATTCCTATACCCGTGTCCGAGACGACAAACTCGATTGCATACTCGCGGGGATCCTTGGGAGGGGCACCTTCGGCTTTTCGAATCGTCAAGCTCACTTCGCCATGCTCCGTGAACTTGATGGCATTGCCCACAAGGTTCAGAATAATCTGTCGTAGACGGAAGGAATCACCGACCACATAATCAGGAACAGAACTGTCAACCCGATATGTAAGGTCCAAGAA